GTTGTCACGGTTGTGGGTTGGAGCGGCATCAATGTTTCCATGCACCGTGTCGACTGACTGTGCGTACTTTTGTGTGGGAGCACGGGTGGGGTGTCTCAGGTTCAGCTGCGATGGGTCGGCGAGGCCGTGTCTCGATATCGAGATGATAGGTAAAATAAACAAAATAAACAAACAAGAAGCTCGCCAGGAAACATGTGACCCCGAACAACCGAACGAACGACAACCGTAGAAATGGTAAACAGCCCGCAAAAAAAAACAAAACAAAAACATGGCACGCCGCTAGCAGATCTCCAAAACTCCAGAAAAAAAGATTGCATCCAACCAAAGAGGTGTGATGTGCTTTGCTCTATGTACATGTAGTAGAAACGTTGGGGCTACATGTCATCTCCAAAACTCCAGAAAAAACGATTTCATCCCAAACAAAGAGGTGAGATGTGTGATTTATGTACATGTAGAGTAGTAGAAACGTTGAGGCTACATGTCGACCTGGGTCGGGTCCGTCCCCAGCATCACAGAGCTGATGCGGCGACTCAGCGCCGTGCCGACGGAGCGCTGACTCGGTGCGCCACTGCGGGTGCTCAGCAGCGGCAGGCCAGCGAGGACCTCATTCCCATCGACCTGAATCGCCTCCACCAGTTCCGTAACATTACCATACTTTTCAACAACACCATTCGCGACAGCGGGCGTGACGCGCGCAATCTCCTGCAGCACCTTGGCGAACGTGTCCTGCGGGTCGGATCCAGTCTTGACCTGGCCGACGTCGGTGCAGAACGCGGTGTCGACGCCGGTGCGCCGCGCGGCCTTGTACGGGATCGTCGAGATGTCGCTGGTCAGGATGCTGATCCACTCGGCGCTCTCGGCGGCGTTGGTGGTTTGGTGGATCAGGCATTTGTGCTCGACTTGGAGGAGCAGGAGGGCGTCTTCGAGCATGTCTTCGTCGACGCGGGGCGGCGGCGGGGTGGCGGCGTTGGAGTAGGGGCCTGAGATGGCGGAGATGACGCGGGTGCGGAAGGCCCGGTTGGCGCTGGTTTTGGCTTTGCGGATGTAGGCGGGCAGGCCTTCGATCATGTAGATCACTGTGACCGGCTCGTCTTTGGTGACGGCAGCGGGGACGAGGCGCTTCAGCTTGTGCACGTGCGTGGCCAGGTCGATGCTGGCGGCGGGGTCGATGGGGTAGGCCAGGTCTACGAATTCTTTTGCCGTCAGGTGGACGAGGATGTGGCGTTCGTCGCGGACCTCTTCGCCCCCTGAGGGCAGCGGAAGGAACATTCCAGCGGCGGCGGAGTACTCTGCTTTGACTCGTCGGCGCCATTTAACGACTTTCCACAAAGACTCTAGGCCGAGTGCGGGCTGCCAAGGTGCGTTGATTTCGCAGCCCCAGTTGGTGAGGAAGACTGAGAGCTGCTGGCCGATGCCTGTGGCGTGAAGTGCCGAGGAGATATCGACAATCATCTCTGGGGCAGAGTCTTTTTTGGATTTCTTGAGTTTGTTGAGGGACGCCAGTTCAGCGTCTTTGGCTTTTTGGGCAGCAGCAGCGTCCTTGGCGGCTTTGCGGGCTTGTTTCTCAGATTCCTTTTGAGCCCTTTCAACAGCGCGGCGGACAGCGCGGCGGGCCTTTTCTTTTTCTGAGAGGCGGCCCCGTCTGTTAATCCTGTCGCTAAAGTCATCACTGTCGTCTGAGAAGGGATATCTTTTTTGGTGCTTTTTTCGTTTTCTTGATGGGCTGAATAGGGATCGGTCCCATGAGGGAAGGTTGGGGTTGATCTTTGCTTTGGCCTGCTTATTTGGAGCTGCTTTGTCGCTGTGGTTCTCTTCATCTTCGCTGCATTCGCTGTCTGACCTGGGACGCAGTGATGCTATGAGGGCAAGAGTCGAAGCACTGAGCGATGACCCTGTCACCTCAGACGGCTTCCGCTTATCAATGGCCCTTCCTTTGCTCTTGTCCCTTACTATTGGTGCCTTCTTTTTCGTCTTATTTCCCGTGACTTCCAAAAGAACATCATCATCACTATCAAAATTGTATATTGCTGATTTTATCGCATTCTTGGTAGCCCCCACCTCCGTATGTGCTCCGCCAATACCCAAAATATCATCAATATCATCGTCGAATGTAAAATGCCTATTATTGGCCGGCGGCGTTAGATCTTTCATAAACCTGCTCATATCGTCTATCATGCTGTCTCCAGCGCGGTGGTCTTCTTGTGATAGATCCAGAATTTTAATATCGTCGCTTCTAGTTACTATATTCGATGATGCGGTTTTTATCTTCATGTTCTTCGTCTTTGATGCTAACGTTGCACGTGGTGGTGGTGATGGTGGACGTGGGGCCGGTGAGCTCAATCGATTGTCCAAAACACTCTTTGTTGTCTTCGTTTTTGATTGCTCAGGCCTGGTCGGAGTATCAGTTGAGGTATATTTCCTCGGTACAGATCCCAAAATATCCAGATCACTGTCATAACTAGTCACATTTCTCATGGCACTTTTCTTCGACGACTCCCATTTATGCATCGGTGACAGTGGTGACAGCGGGATCAGCAAATCTTCCACAATATTCAGCACCCTCTTTGTAGGCTCAGGCTTATGACTCTTCATGGGTAGCGGCGTTGGTGGTGCTAGAATGTCGTCCATAATGGCACTCGAAATTTTCGACTGCGACGGCCCTGGCACATGCGACGGTTTCCGTTTCTTCTTTGGCGGCGCAGCTACTGGAACCAGTTCGTCGTCACTGAGATCCAATATTATTATAGGGGATTTTCGCTTCTTCTCTGGTACTGCAGTTGTCGCAATCATTCTTCCCTTGCCTTTGTCCACCTTGATTTCCGGAGCAGATGACAACGACGAAGAGTCGTCTATTGGGGCGGGACTTCGAGCAGGATGTGGAGTCGTGCCGCCTCCATCGCTCACATCTAACGGCGACAACCATTTGCCCGTGTAGAGTCGTTCGACCGTCAGCTTGATGTTGCCGTGTGTGATGCGTAGATCGCGCCGAATCTCATCTATCGGCCTGAAGGTCACATCGAAGACTTGTTTCACAAGGGCTTCGAAATCGGCGGCCATCGTGGGCGAGGAGGATGGGTGTGAAATGTACTGGTCGAGGGGGACGCGATTGGACCAGTGGTGGAGTCGGGTTGTCGCGTAAAGCTTGGTTGTGAGGCTCCAAAGGGTCACGTGAGACCGTGTGAAGTAGACAACAAGATGTTAACTGCGTTGAGTTGTGGATTAGGCTAATGGATTGCTGTGCTCCTACAAGTGCATCTATCTTTCAATTAACTTACCTTAAAAAGGACTTTTCAATTTTTACTTTCTATGTCCTTGGATTCAGGGTAAGCCTAGACTGTGGGCTCTGTTGAAAACCTTAGAGTTGATTGTCACTCTGTAGAAATTATAAAGGTAATTTGTTTGCTGTACGTTATCTATCGAGTGAGTTCAAAGGAGGAGAGTTATTATGTTATCATGGTTAAGTTGTTCGACTTGATTATAGTAAATACAGGATGGTGTTCAAGTGTGTAAGAGTGACAGAGAGAAAACAAGGATACAGTTGTGAGGCCACATCTTCCATGAGTCTGAAAACCTAAATTCATAATCGAGTGTTAGATGAGGCAGAAGTTGCGGCCCCAACATGATTATTTGACTCATGACCAGTCGCTAAGTGCTTACGCAAGGTCAAATACCCTAAGACTTCAATTCATTAATTAATTGATCTATCGACACAAATCAAAGTTTACTGGATTTACATACTACAAATACGATAAATTCTTCGATACGATACCTATCTTTCTGAAGAGAAACAGTAGACATAAGCGCAAAGAAGATAAGCATTATTAGTTCAAAGCCGACAGAGTAGGTCTTTTTCCATCTACTCCAATTATGGCATGGATAATATGAATACCATGGAGCGGGTTTCCCTGTTATACCTGCCAGACTCCCTTGATAGCATGGCACCATCAATACGGTGAATCGCTTTTCTCAATAACCATCTTCTATCCACTAGCTTCTGGGCCGAGATCACACGTCCTTAGTTGGCTGACTTAACCCGAGAGGCTTCGGAGCCATGCTTCGGCTCATCTACTCTTGACTGGAAGTACGCCTCATAAATGATGGCTTTGATGGCTTCCTAGGTCCGCTGGACCCAAAAGTATCTCGATTGAAACCACCGCATTACCACTCTATTGTCTATGAGATCTGCGCCGGCTTCAAGCAGTATTTCTGTCAAGACCCATAATCTACCGTGGTCTCGACTGTCAGGACTATCATAAAACCACGGAAGACGCTAAGAATTTGGCGTTGATAAGCATGATTTGCAACCATAAACATAGAAACAAGAGCTTAGGCAGCAGCAGCGGTAAAGGACTCGGGACCTTACCGTAAAGCTGTCAGCTGTTTTAATTCTTAAGGTGGTTACAGGGACTGGAGGTAGTAGGCTAGTTAAACAATTGAGGAAGACCAGACAACAAGCTAAGGTAATATTCTGCTTTTTCTCACTTCTTGGAGTGAATTTTTTTAAGTTTTCTAGAAGTCCGAGAGGATAGAAAGGCGGTTTCCGAGGAGTGCAGTGAAGTCGGGGGTAGTGTTTTTCCCGTCGGTTGGAGGAATAATTACCAATATTTCTGTGCAATGCTTGATCTGGGTTCGTTATATGTTCTGTTTGCTTGATTTACTTCTGTCATTAAATAGTAGTAGACACATAACTCGCTTTTTTCTCTGTCGGCTTGTAATCCCGCATAATTCTACTTTGGTTGGTGTATTATCAACGCCAATCGCAAAGAAACTGATGGACTGTACTCAATTTCACGTAACCTAACCACTATGGAACGAAGAAACGGTTTGATTTCGTACATGGCAGCTTAGGATTTATATATCTGGATACTTGTGCCTCTCGAGCTACGTGTGTCCATCTGATCGAAATAGTCGTTCAAACCTGTAGTTTCGCAGATCACGAGATTCTTTCTAGCCCGTGACATAGGATCAAGGTTTGAGCGCTTGATATGACATCATTAAGCGGTGAGGTGGCCGAGTGGTTAAGGCGCTGGTTTTAGGCACCAGTGGGAAACCGCGCGAGTTCGAATCTCGTCCTCATCATTATCTCTTTTTGCTCCAATCCGTTGGAGATCCAGAACTTGTTGTTTTGTGGAGCGCGCTGGGATAGCTATTTGCGTTGGTGCCTTCACTAGAGAACTAAGCAGCCGTGGTGACACGGCGTGTTTGTGGTTACGAAGAATGAGAGCTCCAAGCTCGAGAGTCGATAGACAGTTTAAAATACCTTACAATAAGTGTAAGATAGGAAATAGAATGGAGTTTATGACTTATGAGTGACTGACACGAGTGATGAAAGTCATCCAGTCGGATGATGTGAGTTATCTTATGCCCAGCCAGATGTATTTTTGCCTGCACTTAATATTCCTCGTACTGGAAAACAAACTGATACTTGGCTCACGGAGTGCATTATTCTGGCAAGAAACTCGATCGGAAGGAGATTATCGGAGAGTTAAGATAAGAGACGATTGCCTAAGTCTAAATCATATACCTGACCATCATCTTTATTATTTTCGTCCAGCTACTCTTGTTGGAACTATTCTCAACTTCCGTAGGGTATAATTATAGGCTGTGTAGAAGATTTAGCTTTACAAAAGTTCTCGTTGGAGCAGTGCGTGTTATCAAGATAGATATTTGTTTGTGTAGGAGCTTTTTCTTCGTATGCACAAATAGCAGGCAATCTCAGGATTTGTCTTGTTTCTGCCCAGTAGTAGTCTTTGGTAAACCCACCAAATTTCATATTTCGGCGGGTTAGCTTTAGACTAGGATTAAGCCATTGTGTTACGAAGTATGCGGGTTGTACGTCGATGAAAGACTACTACATAGACACGAGAAAATACTCGTGCGTCCAGAGTGGGAACTCGCCATGTGACCGGGAGTTGAGTCCGGTGGGGTGGCAAAGTTTGGTGTTGAGGTGCCGCCCGGTGGACAGCTGAGCTCTTTGCTCAATAACCATCGATTAGAGCTCGTCGCCTAACAACCATCGCCACAATGGGCCACGGCCCTCAGATACCAACCATTATACGTGCTTCCATAGTTACTATGCACAGCTTGGGCTTAACTTACAGTGAGATATCTTTGAAGCCAAAGGTTCATCCTGATGGCGCGAGGTTTATGATTCAGCGTGTGAAGGTAGCCTTAAAATTCCACAAAACCAACAACCTACAGCGCTAAATTTTCAATGAAGGATAGGGCAAAAGCAGCTCAAGCTGACAGCGAAGACATTCAAGTTCTCTTGAATTACCTTAGCGATGAACCACCAGTACGTACACCGGGAACCAAGAGGAAACATGAAAAAGACTCGGAAGCCTGTGTGCAGCTTTAGGTAGTGTTATAGATGTTTGTCAACGTATATTAGCAACATTAGGATTTCCTAAGACCCGTTAGCCAACTAGTTTGCCAGTCCGAGTGAGTTGACTGGAATACCTAAGGATTACCTAGCTCCGCCGGCGAACCGGTTGGTTGGCGGATTCCAGTCACTCTACGGATCAACCGGGCAGTCTATGGACCATAATAATCTACCGGCTGACTAGAACATTTAAATGTATCATTTGATCTAACTAGGACCTAGGAAATGCTGGGTGCGGCAATGAGTGCAATGACAAAGCACATAACTCCAAGTAGCATTTTGCACCTGTCGATAGAGATATGTATTCAAGTAATATGCAAACTTAAATGAAAGGTTGAACATGGCATGCAGATCATAGAAAGCTTAATTAAGGGGACATATGGTGATCAGTTGGTTAAGCTCTGATAAAGAACGGAGACGAAACGTAAGGGGCAAGTTGCATAGTTTCTACCGATACACAGGGCCATGATAAGATCACGTTATAATAAGATCGGTGCATATTCGCCCGAACCAACCCATTCCTACAGTTATGCCCTTACCCGTCTCCCGCATGCGGCCAAACATGTCACAAACTTCACCATTACTCACTCGGATAAAGTCAAACTTGTCAAAGAACCAGTTCTCTTATGCTATGCAACAAACAATCCTCCAAGTCAAACTAAAGAAACAGCCCCACTATTTACCCCAACAACAACCGCTACAAACTGATATCATGTCCCATTCCATCATGCCAAAAATGCCCAAAAAACCAAACATGCCAAACAAAGTATGAATGAACAACGCTTATGCGCGGTAGTTGGTGTAGAACTGGTTCATGCGGGTGCCCTGGTTGGCGGTGAACTCAGTCATGCAGCTGTGTTTCTGTCAGTGTGTGTTCCAAAGTGTCAGCGCGGATGGGGTGGGGGTTACCTATCGTAGGTGTAGTCCATGAAGTTGTGGATGGGGTCGACACCGGGGTACTGGCTGCCCGTGCAGGTGTTACGTCCAGTGGGGCATCCGCTGGCGGCGCTGGCCTCAGCGGGGGTGTCGGCAACGGAGTCACCGCCGCTGCAGCCGCCCTGGAAGGTGTGGTACAGCCCGAACCAATGGCCCACCTCGTGGGTCAGGGTCTTGCCGAGGTTGTAGTTTGTGGCGCTGCCGCCGGGGACGGAGGAGTACAGGACGGAGCAGCCGTCGTAGTTCAGATCCGAGGACGAGGGGGACGACACTGGGAAGTAGCAGTATCCCAGCAGTCCGTCCTGGAGGTTCTGGAAGTACACGTTGAGCGTGCTGTAGTCACCCTGGCGCAGCGCAGACTTCATGGCTGACTCGGAGTTGTCGTTGAAGTAGTTGGCGTTGGTGGTGCGCGTGATCTCAATCAGGTTGAAGGAGATGCCGGCTGAGGCATAGTCGGCATTAAGGACATCCAACTGCACTACGAGTTAGCTTGAAGTCTTCACAGGGTGGAAATTGATATTGTGTACCTGTTCGTAGAGGTCGGCGTCGGGGATGTTCCCGGCGCTCTCGGAGGTGCCAGATCGCAGGACGTGGAAGTAGGTGTCCACACTGACGGCCTGGGCGAAGAGCTCACCTGCCAGACTGGCGTTGGCGGCATCCTCTCCGGCAAAGCGCTGGTTGGCGGCGATGAGCTCTTTGCTGGGCTCTGGGGCACCGCATTTGCGGATTGCAACGACGCTCGCAACGAGAGAGAAGAGGATGGTGAGACGCATCTTGACTGTTGTAGAATAGAGTGGATGAGGAGTGGGGTGGGGAATGAAGGGAGGGGGCGGGCGGTCCGGTGGCTTTATACATTGTCGAGAACATAGTGCACATCATGGAGCTACCTGAGACTCGTGCAGTGATGCCCCACACGTGAAGGCGTTCATCATGGATCTAGTCTGCATGGGACATTAGCTTATCGTCGTTCGGGAGATGCCTATTGTCTGTAGCTGTACACTCCCTGTCGGACATCGATATCCACCGTCCCATGTCCGCCACCTTCAAAGTCCGGACGACGCCGTTGACGTTATCTGTGTAGGCTGGTGATGGAGACAGGGGAGTACGGAGGGGGGGAGAAACCAACATAGAATCTAGAAACGGCAGGAAGAAACAGTATACAAGCCTTTGGTATGTGGACCTAATTGTTGTGGTCGAAGTATGTAGATGAACTTGCAGTGGTTGGAGGATCGGCGGTGCATGTCAGGGGGCACAAAGACCATGCTCACTCTATTATTCTTAGCGCTATATGTCCGTCAGGTACCATAATACTTACATTTCTACTGTCTGTGCACGCCATAGCAAGTACCCGACGGTAATACCCGAATCCCGTAATCATCATAAGGCATATGAATTTGCACTTCTCATGAACGCCGCGGCAACGGACACTATCAACGATATGATATCTTTCCCTTACCCCACGGTTGCATTTTCAGTGCCAAAAAAGGGTTATGGACCCGTCCGCACATGTAGAGCTTACGGCCTTTACAATACCGGCTCTTCACGATATGTCCAAAACCGGAAATTGAGAAATCGTGACTGGGGACATAGGGAAATGCATGGCATATCATATCTGTTATCACATCTATGAATTATATGGGTGTGCTTGTAGAGAGATATAACAAACCAACATATACATATGTATCAACGTTAGCATTTCGTAATATAGCCGTGCTATACCTGCGCGCGTGCCCCGAACGCTTACCTGGTATATTGCGGCCGCCGAGACGCCCGTGGACTACAGGGAGATCGTTGTGGCTATTTTGCCGACACGCAGACTAGATGAGGATGCATCTATAAACTTGACATATTGTATTTCCGGGACAGGCGCCACACATACACATGGATGAGGCACGGCGTGTGTGGCCAAACATGGTATATGCTCTACGTCCCTGCCTTATAATGTTGATAAGGCCTCTTTCAATACCTGTCCGGAGGGGCATCCGCTCCAAACAGAGCAGGGAAACTGTAAATAAACATTGCGGGCAAGAGGAATCGGATTACGGATTCTCGAGTCTGAATGGTCGGCGCCCCACTATGGATGCAAAGCCCCATGGGAAATTTGATTCACTAGTTAGGATTGCTAAGACTTTAGTATTAAGACCAAGCTCCCGAAAATCAAACCAAAACTGTTTAAGCCAAAACGTTTTACGGAACAGTTATTTCCCGTGGCTCCCCGCAAGCCAGTTGTCCAGTGTCCAGAATTCTAACCGCTACGTCCGCTCCCTTGCTGACTACTCACACGTGCCGCGGCAAACGGGCGGTGCTGTTGAACTTCCCAAACGGCCACCCGGCGCCGGCCGAGCAGGGCGCTAGGAACATTTAGCTACCCCACATATCAAACACATCGATCCTTGAACGCACACCATTCATCCAGATCCGCGGAAAGGATGCTGGAGCGCACAACAGTAGCAGCCTGAAGAGCGCAGGAAAGAATCTTATCTTTAAAAGTTCTTGATTTGGAGATTAACAACGGGCGACTGGATAGTTATGCCAGAAAAAGGGAGCGGAGCTGACCACAACCACCATATATCAGATGCTCGCAGCCACGGTCAACTTCTCCTAGTTCGGCTATCTATAGCTGGAGGATCGACCTTTTAGGGGCACATGAACGGATATTGCTTTTTTGATATGGATGTAGTGGGAATATACTTAGCCCTAGTTCCCGCGGAAGGGTCCGGCGGTGGGGATTACACACACACAACTGCACATGCTTCTTTTG